CACACACACACACATGCAACAACAACAACAACAACAACAACAACAACAACAACAACAACAACAACATTATCACTACCACCACCACAATTAACAACAACAACAACAGTAACAACAACAACAACAACAACAACAACAATATCATCATCACTACCACTACCACCACCACCAACAACAACAACAACAAGAACATCATCACAAACAACATCACCACCACCAACAACAACAACAACCACAGATCTATACCCACCTGACCAGGCACAAAATCCCCGAAGCCAATAGTGCTGAGGGTGATGAAGCAGAAGTAAGAACCGTCCAAAAACGACCAGTCTTTCTCCCAGCTGGAAAAGATTCCGGCGCCCAGCAGGATGTAAGCGCCCATTGTGACCAGGGACACCCACACGGGCACTTTGGTCTGGTCTAAGGGAAGGGACTCTTTGTTTTCTGGGGGTTTGTTCGTCGGGGCAAGACATTGGAGTAAAGAATTACTACATGGTTTTTTGTGTTTTTTCGGGGGGTTTTTGTTGTTTTTTTGTAGAGGTTTTTTTTTTTAGGCCGAAGGGCTAGAACCCAAATGGTTGCTGGATTGGAAAAACTGTAGAAGTTTTATGGCGCTCGCAACTGCATAAGATCATATGAGCGCCAGAAGATTAGAAGTGTTACAAGAGAGTTAAGTAACAAACATAGAAAAGAAAAAGGGGAGATAAGGACGATACCTGTTTGATAGGAAAGAAGAAGCAAACCACACCAGAGCACACGCCAACCACCCACTTACAACACGTGAAATGTGATGTCTTAGACAAGCAGTAAACAAGACCAGGCGAGACAAAATTAGAAACTCAGTAGTAAGAGAAATGGTGGGAACAAAAGAAGTCATGCATCACATCCAACACCAAATGGTTCCGACATCTCATGAGATTACCAACACACCATCCAGCACAACGTGCCTATATCAAAAAATTAAATGGCAACAAAGCTAGAGGGCGACCGAGAACGACCTGGATAGATGGAGTCAGGGAAACACTAACAACCCACGGCATCCCCCTAACCCAAAATCTCCGGCTGGTAGCGCAGAGACGTCTCTTTCTTCCCGCGACACACAAAAGGGTATAAGTGGCGGATAAAAGTAAAGTAAAAGTTTATGGGTGTTGGGGGGGGGGTGAAGGTGAGGGGAATGTAGAATGCG